CCCCAAACTTTTATTAAACAGATAAACGTCCCTTTCAGATTTGACCAGTGTGAACAATAGGGAAATCACTGCAGGTCTTAGGGGGAACTAATAGAATCCATTTATATTTAAGACTCTGGCTGCCAGATAGAGATGGGCTGCAAGGGTAGAAGCAGGGAAACTGTTAGTAGCTTACGCAGGAGGCCCAGCGAGAGGGCCAGAGGGAGATTAGGGTGGTGACCCAGATGTCAGAGAGAAATGATAGATTGATGGATACAGAATACATTTTGAATGTGTATGACTTGAAACTCACAGCAAACTGAATTTATTTTATTATTGAGTGAGTATAAAAATAATGCTCGTGGCCATCATTTATTTACTGAGTGCCTTCAAGACGCCTGCTCTCCTGTAGTCCAGGCAGGCATTATTAGTCCCAGTTCACTGACGGAATCACCGAGATGTTAAGTAACTCCCGTAAAGTCACACAGCTAGTGACAGGCAGAGATGAGGTTGGTCTGGGATCTGAGGATGGTCTCCAAAGTCCTTGTTACTTAGGAGCCTTTAGGGGAGATGGTAAGGGGGGGGGGAAGGGTAGAGTGCTGGAAGGAGATGGGGATGGTTAAACGAACTGGCAAAGGGACAAAGAAAGGAGAGGAGGGATGTGGGAATTCAGCCTCATCTGGCATTTGTTTCCGTTCTGGTGAGCCTTCTGTTGTGTGGAAGTGGGAAGGGTTTGTGGTCGTCACAGCACACGTAGGCATACCTTAGGGAAGATACTTCCATTCCCCAAATACCAAGCTGCTTCCCACCGCAGGGCCTCTGCACTGGTATTTCCCTCTGAGAGGAATGCCCCTGTCCCCTCACATCACCTGGCTGGCTCCCTCTTCTATAAACCTCAGCAAAAACATCACCACATGTGCCCTTGGCCTGTCGCCAGGTTTCTGCAAGAGTGGCTCCTTCTTATGAAATGCCACTTCCTCGGTGAGGTCCTCCCTGCCCACTCAAATTAAAGTAGCACTCTGCACCCCTCACCCCCAACTCACTATCCATGTCTGTTCCTTTTCCCCCTTTCATAGCATTCACCATTCTGTTCTTTTGTTTATTGTCTGTCTCCCCAAACCCAAAAGCCAGTTCTGTGAGAGCAGGGCTCTGTCTGTCTCTGTCACACTGTCTCCTCAGATTTAGGACAGTAGCTGGAACACAGTGGGCACATGACAGGATTTTGCTGAATGAATGAATGGTGGTGAGGGAAAGGAAGAAACTAAAAGGTGACTCTTGGATTTGAGGGGCTGATGGAAAGACTGTGCTTAGCCAGGTGACTCCAAAGAAAATGTGCATTTGAGCAGTGGGTCAACCTGATCCATGGGTTGGAGGTGAGGAACTGCAAGACAGGTGTGGGCAGTGGATCTTGGGGCTAGATGGTGCCCTGTGGGATATGCCTGGGGAAGGAGACAGGGGGTTTCTACAGGATTAAAGTGACAAGTATTTTTGTCTTAATGTGGCCAAAGCTTATCACAGGAAGAAATTAGTACTTTGGGGGATTACATTTCCCCAAGCTAAATTCCAGAGTGGGGGAAGCAGGATGTTGATGCTTCCTTATCAGTGACTACTGAAAAGAAGCAATTACAAATAGGAGGCTTAAGAAATCTGACATGCCACTGTGTGCCACCAAAATTATTAGGCAGAGATGGATTATAAATTAGAAAAAGACAATTTAATGAGAATTGTCACACCAGAGCAAATCCAGAAATGATAACTGAGTCCATGAAAATGAGCTTAGGACAAAAACACTTGATGATAAGACCCAGCATTTCTTCTCCAAGTTCAGATTCTCTGGGTTCAACTCAATGATCTCATATTCCTTTGGTAATGAGACATACAGTCAAAAACTCATTGTGTGGGTTAGATATTGTTTTTTAACTGCGGGGAGAAAAAAGGGTAGAAGTAGATTCTATAATCTGAAGCAATTGTGCTCAGTGAGTTCTAATCAGCAATAAAGCTACTCGGAGACAACCTGCATGCCAGGAAATGGACTGACTGAAACCTACAGCGCCACTCTTTTTCTGCAAGTCAGCTGGAGCCCTGCCTGTCTTGGAGATCAGTTTCAAACTTGAGTAGCAATTCATGATTTAAAAAAATTCCCTAAAACCAGATATTGTACAATAATAAGTGAACTTAATAAAAAAAAAAAAATTAAGGGCGTAAAGTACACTTTTGCTCCATAACATTTTAATTTTCAAAAGGAATTTTTGTTGCCTTTTACACTTCTGAGGCACAGGGGCCACGTCACGGTTGCTCTCAGAGCACCGATTTTCCCTGCATCCCACTTAGACACGCCGATCGCACATGCAAGTCACCTGGCCACTTTATTCCCGAGGGAAAACTAAATAAAGAAACAAGGATGTGAATTAAGTTCATCTGCAAAATAAGAGATGCCCAAAAGAAGTACAGGGCGAGAAAAAGCGATCGTACCCATCTAGATATTGTTTTCACCTTCAACACTCACTACTGAACTTGTTTTAGTTCAACAGCGACGCTCAAGCACATGCCGCCTCTGGCAGTTACAGGTGCCACACTTCTGCCAGGTTTGTGTTCAAACACCATTTCTAAAGCACGGGCTATGTGGGTTACTGGCTGCAGGAGGTCCAGCTGCGAAATCAAATGTAACCTTAATTACTGCCACTTTTTTAGTGTCTAATTAGACCCTTTTACCCCCCATCAGCAGAGGGCTGTGGCTCAACGCGGCCGTGGAAAGGTCTCCCAAAGCCACAGGGCATCAGAAGGATACCTCCACTCACTGCTCCTAACTCAAGGGTGGGGGTGCTTTCTTCCAGGACCCCAGACCAGAGATTTTCAACAGGCGTAAGGCAAGAATTTTTAAAACACGCAATACCTGACTATTTCATCTGGGGCACAGACCTCTTTCCCCGTATAATGCCAAATTAAAAAAAAAAAAAAAAATGACATCAGCCAACACCATAGCTGTCTGTTACGAACGAATCAAAATTATACTTTTTTGTCATATCGGCAAAAATATGTTTTTTTGGTGTGCCACGGAATTGTAGTAATTAGTTTATGAAAAAGGTTGAAAATCACTGCCCTGGACCTTCGCTTCCCACCTGCAATCAGGAGCCGCGTGGGAAAGAAACTGTCAAAGGCACTGAGCAGCGTTGACGCAGGTGACAGCGGAGGGAGGCCCGGGAACAGGAGGAGGCGGGGCCTACGGGCCGGGGCTGGGCGGGGGGAGGGGCACTCCCACGCCCGCCGGCCGAACTGCGCGCGCCACCGCGGGGGCGGGGCCTGAGGCCACCACGTGGTGGAAGGGGCGGGGCCTCAGCCGGAGTTTTCCGAGGAGCCACGACAGCGGCCCGGGAGCCAGGCCCCGGGCGAGGCCTCCCTCCTCTCACCTGAGCGAGGCCGGGCTGGGCCGGGGCGCTCGCGGGCCTCGGTTTCCACACCAGGAGTCGTCTTAGCCAGCCTGGGGCCGACTTCGGAGTCGCAGTTGCTTCCGCTTTCTCCCGCGAGGTTTGTGCCCTCTGGCTGGAAGCGCTGGGTCCGGCCG